CATTTTTAAAACACCTATGGTATCTATATTTATTTCGGATTCGCTGATTGTGTTTCGATAACTTTTCGGATGCGTTTTGGAAAAGTATACTTTGTCAATATTTTGTAGTTCGGCGTTATGGAACATTATACTTTGTACGTATGCAAAGCAACTGACGTTTTGGAAGTCAGCCTAGTATTCATGTAGGAAAAAGAAGCTCTTATTTGATATTTATGTAAATAATTTTAGTACTACCAAACTTACTATTGATTGCTAGGAATCCACGACACCTCCGCCTAAGCAACATAAGCCACACACCGGACCACGCGCGTCGCCAGACCCACAACACGCGAGGCGCTGTGACCTGCGTACGGATCTCTATATGCTGCAGCCAGAACGTCTAAATCAAGGCGGTCAAAATAATCCTCTTAAGGTAAATCACCGCAGCTTCTCTACGTCTCACAAAATCACTTTATTATAACCTTACAGTTTTTACTGAGCATTAGGCCGTTTTTTTTATGAAACATTTTTATGAAAAACAGCAATAATTTAGAAGGTATAAGTTACATATACGGCTATTTTGGAGACGAGCAAATTTTCTCATTAGTCTCCTTCAAAGTAAATGGTCTATCCTCTGAGTAAAAACAGCCTCAAGTTCAATGAAAATTTTAAAACAAATTGTTATTAAGTGGTAAACAACAAAAACTAACGTTAATTTTCATCCACTTACCCAGGGCAAGCTGACCAATTGTCATGTGTCAGGATGCGAACGCCCCTTCAGCGTACAGAAAATACCACACAGCAATCTCATTTTGCTAGTAGTGGATACCTTATGTCCTTGCGGCTCCAAGCAGCTGGATATAGAACCGCTTGAGGAGTCGGGTACTATTGGTATAGATGGAATTTCTAAAATCTTATTTTCACAAATACATTCTAACGAATACTTCTTGCCCATTTTATAGGTGCCTGCAGCGCACGTCGCCAGTCACAGGAGAGCGCAAAGCGTCGTCGACCCAAAAAATGTATCAACTATCATCCTGAAGAAATCGAAATTCAGCAATGTGGGCGTGCCACGGCGCTTCTACAAACACCCATTTCGCTCGTCATGGCACATCTGTTTATGTTGGTGGTGATGTTTACGTTCACAACCGCGTGATACTAAGTGGAGTAAAAGTGAAAAGTAGCAGGTTACAGTTACAAATATGCAACACTAACATTTGAACAACAAAAGGATCCTACATACATAGAACGACAACATGAAACAACGCAACAATAACAATAGTTATATGCCAACAAAAGAATTACATACATACCTACATGCATTCATACCAACAAACCCACTAAAGATAAAAAACAAATAACGTTTATTAGTATATTTAAAAAATATCAATTATCACGTAAGTATATAGCTTAGTTCAATTAAGTTACTAATTAGGTGAAGTTGTGGATTTAGTTTTTATGGCAAGCGGAAGAAAAGTTTTGACGTTAAGTACTGCAAATATTGTATGTAATTTTTATGGATTATTTTAGCGCAATTCCGCGTAAGATCCAATTTACAATATAATAAGTATCTTAACTTGTTTAAAGATTTTTCACAAAGAGTATTTTCGGATACCAGAAAATAATTTTATAATTCAAAATCCTAATCAAACTGAGCTGTCTTCCTTCTTTATAAAAGTCAGCATTTGCTTTTATAAAAAACTTTCTGGTAGAAGCGCTCCTATTTGGAGCATTTAACATAGAAGAACTTGCCACTTTCAAGATTTTCAAATTATTAAAATCTTCTTCGTAGTGGCTGTTGTCCATGTGATTTCAATCACTTGGATTTGCCTAACTATATGAGTACTCTTTTTCGAAGCACCTCCAAAATCGCTTTAAAATAAATAAGATCAGCCGCCAAGTCCCCTTTTTTTTAGATTTTTAGTAAAATCTTTATTAATATCCACCCTTTTCCTATCGGATGGATGGTGGGATCTATGAAGAAGATTTACTCTTCATAATTCTAAGCTTTGCACACGCTAGAGCGGCATTTTCTGTTCGCAGTTTTCTTGCAGCATTCTTCAGAAAACATTCATATTCTTTTGTCCCCACATTTAGTCATCGGGAGTCCGATCTAACCGCATCAGCGTAAGCTCTTAATTCAGCAAGACCTTTTTTAATTTGTTTGAGTTTCTCATTGACTACCAGCGACCAGAGTAATGACGACACCGCGCTCTCTTGAAGAATGTCTCTACTGACCGGTTTAGTGGTCTCATGCCCACCCCATTGAGACCTGGAAGTTTTCCAACTCAGTACGCTGCTTATCCAGTTTGAAAATACACGGTGTGCCACTATCGTTAATACTCCATCGAAAATAGCTCGTTTTTGACATTATTGTATACACTCTAAAAAAAAATTTTGTAGATTTCCTAGCTAAAAGGTAGGTTACTGATTTCCTACCTTACTATTCGCGAAATTACATGCTCGATTATTCAACGAATAGTTTGTTTAAATTTCGGACTTTTTAGGGTGTAATATAGCTGCTGTGGTGTGCGTAAATTCATTACGAAAGTGTGTACAAGCTACAAAATACACATCTGCTGTTTTATTTCACCCGTATAATTGCGTAAAGCCGCTAACAAAAAGGATTTTTACACACGAAAATGTGTAAACGAGAAAAATACATATTCGTCGTGTAAATTTACCAAAGAATTTTAAAAATAAACAAAAATATATTCGACTTATAGTCGCAATTTTAAACAGGTTTTTTAGAGTGTACAAGAAAACCACCATACTCGAGTTCATTGTAGTCAAGCCCCATGACCGACCGTATGACAAAATTTCGCAGGGTGGTGTCTACCGATTTTCGCTTATATTTAGTTTGGTAAAATTTATTAACTTAATAATAATAACACAGGCCGAGAAAAATGGAAAAAAATTTTGGTGCCGCATGTTAAATCTGGTTTTAATAGACCTTTTTGTTCTGAGAAAAACGTGGTCAAATTATAAAAAAATCGCGTTTTTGCGATATTTTAGAAGCTGTAGCAAAAAAACAAGCAAGATAGCACCTTCCGCTTTGGCTTAAAATAAATACTATCCTTTCACTTTGACCTGGTGATCATTTATTGAACAGCAAACACCGATTTTGGCGAAGTTTGAATAGCTGCCGCAATTACACAAAAGATGATAGAACCTTATACTTGGGCTCAAATTAAGGCTTGACCTTGCGACTACAATCCCTAAAAATACCATCCTTAAACCTTGGTCTTAAGGTCACTTATAGTAATTTTAATCTATCTTCTATTCAGAAAAAAACGAAGTACATAATTCTGAAAATGCCTTGCCATATCTTTGAAAGTAGCCATGCATATATGTATATTATCAAAGCGAATTTTAGAGAAACATTATTCTACTATATGAAAATATACCATTAAAATACAACAGATATTATGAAATAGAAGTTTCCCTAATTTCCACATTTCTCTAATAAAACGAGTTACTGTTCAGGTGGAAAAGTGCGCTTTGTTCAGGAAGTTATTGGATATCTAGGTTATTTACAAATTTATGTCATATATGTACGTATGCTTCAAAAATATTAATTTTGGGATGGCATGGGTCGTGATTTTATCTGTGCTGGAGTTTTTTCTTCACACATACATATTCTTCAAATTGAAAACTAACACTCATACTAGTTTTCAAAAATCCGATTTTTAAATTGAAAGTGGTTAGTTAGTGGTTAGTGGCTGCTAGTTTACTTGACCCCAATAGTCAAGGGCACTATTTAAGCCCATCGGATTATATAATTGCGCTGCAATTTATTTATGATATAGATACCAATCTGAACATATGAAAAAAAATGTAAATGTAAATGTAATGGCGGACCTAACAAACCATAAACCAGAGAGGATTTATGTGCTAAATTTTTTATGTGGAGCAAAACAGAAGAAATATCTATTTCCACATGGTGCAAAAGTATTTGGGCGTCCACAGAATTGAGCAAGATAGGTTCGTATATTGACTGCTCCATGCACCTCTTTAGATGGCTGTTGGTTTTTATTAACATTTCTTAACTTTAACTCAACCGTGGAAGGTCACTGCCTATGTGAAAATATTTGACGAAGCATATCTTTCCTAGGCTAACGGCACAAAAGTATCTAGATAAATACATCTGAGAATTTTTTCCAAACCTCGAAAATTTTGTGGCAAACCCCCCAGGTTGAAAATCTAATCTGGCAACCCCAGCTGAGGATGAAATCATCAATTCCGCCTTCTTCCACTTCAACTGGTATCACCCTTTCTACACCCCTTCTCCTTCCAATTATTTTCGGAGTGCAATGACGAAGAAAAATCCTGCGACAGTGACTAAATTTTGATTTCGTTCGTATAATATAATGCAATGCTGCAAAAATAAATATATACATATATCTCATATAGCTTTTATCTTCAGTTATTCTTTTTTCACTGCCTTGTACGAATTTTTATTTATAAAATTTATTTTAAAATTAATTATTTTTTTCAGAACAATGGATTTATTCACTAAATCTTCTATGACATAGTTTATACTCACCTTTTTGGTAAATACCGGGGTATTTACCCATTTTTACCCAGTTTTCCCGTTTAACCGGGTATATACAATTTGTGTATTTACCCATTTCCCATCTCTAAATATGATCCAATTTGTTAAAACTATGAACAATCCCTAAGCTCTTAATTCCACCTGTGAGATCTCAACAAGATCTTAAAATAACGGTTTACCGAGTGATCGTATTTTTATTTCGCTCAAAGCGGGACAATGGTTTTACATGTTCGCTCTAAATTTAATAAATTTTTAAATGTATTTCGGAATTTTTTAAAGAACTGTAATGAAAGCTCAGTAAAGCTGCCCTGAAGTACTTCTGGCTTTTAATATTTCCTCTTGCTAATTAATTGTTTCCAAACATTAATGACAAAGATTAAAGTCTAACAAATGTTGTTATTAAATTCATTTTCTATAAGTAGGATAATCAATTGGAATAAGTTTCTTAGATGCCTACTCTAAAAGACAAGAAGTATGTAGTTAAATTGCAAAAACGCAATTTTGTGTAAGTGGGTAGACAATACGAATATAATTTGACTTCTTACATATAAAATAATAAAAAAGATTCATTCCAATTTGTTGTATTAAAACTTTATTTAAAAAAATTGGTTATGGAGGAATAAGCACCTTTAATATTTAATTCATGTATAATTAAACAACAATTAGTAATGATTACTAATGATAAATTGATTAGTAATAACTAGCAAACAATATATGTATGTACGTATAACTATTAGTACTGTGGTACTTATGTCGTAGTTACAAGAAAAAAATTGAAACTACAAAATGTCAATGATTACCTAATATCTAACTCCTTATGTATGTATGTAGGAAGGGTAATGGTACTTGAAACAGTAATCGTTTGTATAAACTTTAGCAATTGAGTATAACAACATCTATAGGCGTTATTTTGTTTGAGGTTTAGAAAAAAGTATTCAAATATTCATAATATTTATTAGGTTGTAGTTATGTAAAGTTTTGTGAAAGGATTGGTTAGCCGGTATAAAAGCAGTTAGTAAAAGTTTAAAACAAAAAAGGAAAATTGTTAAGCGAATTTGGTAAAATTTATGACATTGTTTTTTTATTCTATTTTAAAACTAAACTAAAAAAGCGCGGGTCAGAATAGACTTTTTGAAGGGTGTTGTAAAAACATTAATATGTAATTAAAACAATTGGGCGTATACATAGTCAAAATAAAGTCGACTCTATAGTTAGTAGCAGTTTTTGACAAAAATTTCAATGGAATGGAAAAAGCGGTAAATAACTTTACATTCGACTTTATTCCCATTATGAATAAGTCCCAATATTTGCTAGCGACTCATTACAGTGTCATACATTCCATGTAAATGTAGTTAAATTATTGACGTTACAAAAAATTTGAAATCAAAATTAAAACTGAAATAAAAAACAAAAAAAAAGAACTCCAAGCGGCAAGTTGATGAGCATACACTCGAAATTAAAAAATTCTTTGTGTAAATAATGTTCACAGCTAAAACGTATGGAAAAGTACCGTTAAAAAGTTTTGATGTTGATGAAAAGCAGTAAAAATTCCTACCGATCCGTTTTAGAGCATAGAAATAGTGAAACTAAAGAACTTTTTTTAATTTCCAGTTATTTCGCGTGTCAAAAAAAATATATTTTTAAATCAGAAAAAAATATAAAAACTAGGTAAATGTTAATAATATAAACATAGCATAAAAACAACTCTATGGACTGTTAGCAAAACACCTAGACTGGACTCACAGTGCTACCAAAGCAACTAACGGGTCGCCAAAACTACATTCCGTTCGAGGGTCTAGGAATCTAACTCCATTTCAAACTAATTTGATTATCAGATCCAGCGCCAAAAAGGAAGAAGAAGATTATCAGATAACGGGAATTTTAGCCACAGCTGCAAAGTTCGTCATAGCAAGGCCTAATTAATTTTCAAGATATCCTTCAGCATGATTTATACTCTTTTGCGTACGCTCAAACCAATCGGTGAAATATTTCTTCTGTAGTGCCTCAAAAACATGGTTTTAGATGCGTAAAATATTCATTCCGGCGATGAAAAAGTCGATCCGGCATTTCACGATTTATTGGATTTGTTTTTATATTCAATGCCAAGCTCAATAGTGAACATGGCTTTCTCCATGAGGGTTTTCATAATTTTTCCTATGTCCTTCAGAGTTGATAGCATTTATACCAATTCAAGCATTTTCAGTGACTTTATAGAGTTGCAGTACCTTGCAGCACCGTGCGGTGAAAGGTAATTGGTATAGAAATACTCTCAACACTCCAAACTAATAGATACAAAGGTTTTTGCTGCGCCCGCCTGCGTCCCTCTTGTTGATATTTCATAAACTAAACATTTCACACTGGAAAATTGTCATATATATAAGCTGTGGCAAAATGTAGTAATTGCGATTCGATTTGAATGAAATTCGCTATACAAGAAGACTTACGTAAAACCTATCGATAGGGTCAAAATATTCGTAATGGTAGGAATAACAGGATCTTTGAGGACTACGCCGACCGCTGCGCTTGGCGTCATCCTACACATACCTCCATCGGATCTGGCTGCTAAAAACATAGCCCTAAAAACTGGAATCCGGCTTACTACTACTGGTTACTTTAAGTTCATAGTCAGTTTTCTTGCTACCTGGACAAAAACAAACACAGACTATATCATAGCGTGTCTGTATTTTGGGAAAGTTTGTCAGTCGTTATTGAGGAGGATGGACGGCGCAAGGAGAATGCAGTAGAATTCATATATCGTCGGTGATACTGCAAAACGGTCTATGTTTATTAGTACCTTTGATACCTAGATGGTATCTTATTTGCACCGGAATGCATCTGCAAATCGTTACACCGTAATAGACGAACGACAAAACTATCTACCTTTGGCTGAT